AGACTTGGCTGGCTTCTGAACCCCTCCAAAAAGTTATACTTTCAGTCTCCTTATTTATGGTTCATATAGAAACCCAAAAAGTTAAAGTCCTAAGAGCCAACCAGAAGAACACCAAGTAGAAAAGTATATAGGGTGCTGCAGGGGAGATTTTATTACGGCTCTAGTATAGGTATGGGCTGCCTGAGGAGCTGAGGTAAGTCTTTGGGGACATCAAAGGTTGTCTACATAGCTATCCAAGTCAAAGGACATGTACCTAAACCCTGAACCCCTAAACCCCTAAACCCCTAAACCCTAAACCCCTAAACCCTAAACCTAGACCCTGCACCCACTAAGCTGCGTGCCTTCAGACCCTCAGCCGACACCTCAAACATTAAACGACGCCAAATCCCGTAAAGTACCCAGACCCCCAACTCATCTGTTGGGTGTTCTCTAAATCAGGGCCCCTTTTTAGGCCCCAATCTAGAACGGCACCCTTACAAAATGACCCCAAAAGGGACCTAATTTAGAGAACTACCCATTACACCCCTGAATCCCCCCCCCCCTATGAAGGACCACTTTATGAAGGACCACGAGGGTCGTATTAAAGGGCAATTGGGGTGGACTGGTAGTCCCTGCTTTTGGGGGTTGGCTGACTTCTGAACCCCTCCAAAAAGTTGAACTTCTAGTCTCCTTATTATGGTTCATATAGAAACCCAAAAAGTTAAAGTCCTAAGAGCCAACCAGAAGAACACCAAGATAGGGTTTAGGGTCGTGATCCAGAACCCATCCTCCCCTGATAAAAACGGGCTATAGCAGGGATGATCATCTTTTATCAGGGTTAGGGTTTAGGGTTTAGGGTTTAAGGTTTAGGGTTTAGGGCCTAGTTTAGGGTTTAGGGTTTAGGGGGTCTCGAGATGCCTAGAGTATTTGGAAGTTGGAACAGTCTAGTAAGGTTCCTGGCCAGGGAATTCGCTAGGGGAGTTCGGAAGCCTGCAACTTTTGCACATACGGCTGATGGACAAAATTCTGCATGACCCAAATATAGTATAGTACCGTAAATCCCATAGTTTAGGTATATAAGGTCATGCAGGATTTTGTCCATCAACAGTAGTTCTACGATCAATGGGAAAGCCACAGCTGGCGCAAAGTACGACTCTATAGCTGTCCTACCGAGCACGCAACCTCAACCCTGAATCCCTACATCCTAAGTCGTCTAAAACCCTTGTATACCCTAGTTTCCAAGATCCCAGATTCGCTATCGCCACGCGTAGACAAACCCTCTCAGTTTGTCAGCAGTTGCTTGTTCAAGAGGGCTGAGAGTTCTGGATGTTTCAGTGTTGAAATTTTGGATTGTTGATTCAGGTTCATCTTAGGCCTCATCTTGCTATAGAGCTCTAGGGTAATCTTCAACTGAACAGTTTAGGTAAGGTTCTTCATGAACCCGGCAACCTAAACCCTGCGCAACGAAAGGCCAACCGCCAAATTCGTGATCTAGTACCCGAGCGTTGGGCTTCGACACTCTGTAAAGCCCAATGCCGATCGATCCTATTCTAGGGGCGCTGATGCCTAGGATAGGGCTTGAGGCATAATCTACTATGCGGAAAATGCGGAGCATATTGACTTGAACAATCAGCGCCATATAGCCCTAAGCTCGAGGGAGAAACAGAATCACATGCAAGTTGCACAGGAGTACCTGAACCCCAAATTTGAAAAACCCTAAACCCTAAACCCTAAACCCTAAACCCTAAACCCTAAACCCTCTTGAGCCCTAAATCTCCTAAAACCCTAAACCCATTCATCCCTAAAGCTGTGACCCAAAGGGTCCATGTACACAAATCCTATATACTTTGGCCTTCATGTAGTCCCTATATAGGTACTTTGGGGCCAAAGTATTGGCTATTTGGATACATGGACCCGTAGGGTGAATCACTAAAGTCCTGAAAGTAGTTCTGCAGAGTGAACCCAAGCCCCCGGAAGTGGCAGATCCGGCATTAAATCCCCAAGCCATCCCTGAAAGTTGACAGTAGAGGCAGTAGAGGAAAACCGCAAGTTCATGGTAGCGGTTTAGGGTTTAGCGGTTTAGAAATCTTAGCGGTTGGAGTTGGGGATTATCTGCTCCGTGATGTGCATGTGTTTACAGTCTGTGATGCATTTTCAATCGATGCTGGCAATCCCGAAAGGATACTACATAGATACACCCACCATCCCCCACCCAAAAGTCCCAAGCACCCCAATATACTCGCACCAATGCCTCCTATTAATGCACCCCACTGACCAGGGAGCCTCAGGGAATCCATATCAGATATATATATATATATGTATATATATATATATACATATATATATATATACTTATTTATTTATTCATTTATTATATTTGTTATATTTATTTATTTATTTATTCATTCATTTTTTATATTTATTTACTTATGTATTATTATCCATGTATATATATATATAGTTATTGTTATTACCGTTACACTCAGGAACCCCAAAGTAGCATTGGTATTTATTTAAGCTGACTACACGATTCTTCTGACAGGCGGCTTGGTGATGTAGGCCTGGAGAATCTCTAATGCCACGTCGTAGTAATCCTGGGCAACGAAAAGCCCCTAAACCCTTAACCCCTGAACCCTAGACCCCTAAAACCGCCAAAACATTAAAACCTAAACACTACATGAACCCTAAACTTTAAACCTCCAAATGCAAAACCCGTGAGCACCAAACCCCAAAGTCCTATACCCTAAACCCTACCTAGACCCTTAAGAACCTACCATTTTTAAGGTTCCTTATTATGATTTCTGTATCTAAATCCTTGAAAAAGGTAGGCTATTTGGGGTTAAGGAAAGCCCTAAACCCTAAACCCTAAACCCTAAGCCCACCGCCCGGAACCCCAAGCTCAAGCTTGAGACCAAGACTCGAAGCCCCTCCTGAAAGAGCCACGGTTTAGGGTTCAGGGTTCAGGGTAGAGACTTTGGGGTTCAGGGTTTGAGGGTTGAGGATTTGGGGTTTCGAGTTCGGGGTTTAGGGTTTAGGGTTTAAGGGTTTAGGCTTAGGCCTTTTGGAGAGCCTCTTTCCACAGCAATTCTGCAGAGAGCCTCCGAGGAGGCAAGGTTTAGGGGTTTGGGGTTTTGAGGTTTAGGGTCTAGGGGACTCGGGTTTAGGGTTTATTAAGGTTTAGGGGTTTAGGGTTTAGGGTTCAGGGTTTAGGGTCTAGGTAACGAGGGTTCAAAGTTGAGGGTTTAGGGAAATCTAAACTCCTAAACCTGACATCAAAACAGGCAAAAATCAGCCCGGGAAGACCAACCACTGTGGCATGGCACCTCAAACCGTAGAGTCGGCTTGGGATGTTGTAATGTAGTTCAATAGGCAGCCCGAAATCAAACGTACTGTTGATGGACAAAATTTTGCATGACCCAAATTTAGTATAGTACCATAAATCCCATAGTTTAGGTATATAAGGTCATGCAGGATTTTGTCCATCAGCCGTATCTCAAAGAATGTTCAGGCCCCTATAGTACACTCAAATCTTCTGACCGAAGCCCATGCCATAGCCATCCTTGATCCTTAAACCCTAAACCCAAGCCTTGCTTTGAAGATGCACAAATGAACCTGAATCCGGCTCAGACTATCCGAGGCAAAGCTTTAGTCACGATAGGGTTTAGGGGCAAAGACGGCAAAGATGCTTAAGACGACCATCCTACTTCTATAATACAGAGCTCCGTGTCGCCGGAAGCCTACTATGTGTGCGAGCGCCCCCTTTACTAACATACTTGGAAACCCAGACCGCAGACACACAGCTAACATTGACCCCGAAGGGTTTAGGGTTTAGGGTCTAAGGGTCCATGTGGGGTTTAGGGTTTAGGGTCTAAGGGGCCATGTGCTCATCTAGCATATGCTTTGGCCATCCTGACTACCCTAGGGCCAAAGTACAATATACGCTGGACTATATGGCACATGGACCCCTAGGGCACTGAGACGCCAACCCAAGCCCCGACAAAGCCGACTCAGGCCCCCAGCGAGTTTGTAGTAGCAGAGGGCGATGTACACATTCCTCAGATTTTTTCGGAAACCGGTTTTAGGTTCTAGGGTCAAAACGACATGTTGAAAGGTTCAGAACGGCTCAGAGTTGGGGCTGCATTAGGGATTTAGGATTTAGGACTTCTTCGAGTTTAAAATAAACTCGAAACCCCCAGGGAAAGCCACACCCGAAACTCCCAAAGCAAATCACAAGATCTCTGTGGGAATATGCAAAGACGGTGCAATGACATGCGTCCCAAGAAGGACCAGGATTCACCACACTCTTGTAGATCACGGATTTCTGTCTTGTGTTTAAAGTCTCGCCAGGCAAAGTCTAAAACATAAACTACCATGTAGATGAACCTAAACCTTAACCCGAATACTCAGATATGGTACGTATGGCTGTCGGGGCTACAGCAACCCCAAAAAACTCTTCCGAATCTAGCTCCATGGCCTGAGGACAGGGTCAGGGTGCTGCGTAATTCGGGGATGTGTGCTCGCAGCACTACTTCTACCCGTGCCGTACATTCGTGAGCGGTGTACGTACGTATTTTCATGCACAGAAGTTCTTGAGTGAATGCACACGTGGATACCATATCCATGCGACCATCTACGTACAGTGGCGGAGGTTTGATGTGCTTCTGCAATTTGCAGCTCCGGCTTGACTTTATATCTTCACAGGAAATGGAATCTGGAACATTAGTTCACTTTATTTGTAAAAACTGAACTGAAGCAAACATCGTTGAAGTGCACGACGACATGCTACATGCTGCAATATGGTTGAGGACGCTGAACCATAACACATTGCCTAGCCTTTTGAGCTTTACCACATGGAGTTGTAAGGCCAAACCAGAACGGAATATGCCCGGTCATTATATGATGATCTGAAGTACATCATGACGTAACAGCTTCATGTCTTGGCTGGCGAGCCGGCACACATGCAAGAACTGAACACTACGCTTTGAGGTTTAAAGCCTAAACCTTACCGGGCCCTACCGCGTGGTCGAACACAAGCCATACCGTGCAGGCAAACGTCATGCAGAGTACCGCGCAACAAAGAACACAAAAGCATTGCAATTAAACGCCATACATGTAGCACGCCTCATATCACCGCGTATTGCAGCGTAATGTCCCTTGGTGGGATCGCCGAATAATAGTCTAACCAACCTAAACCCTATAAACCCTAAACCCTAAACCCCTAAACCCTAAACTCTAAACCCACAGCTGAACATAACTTAAACGTCAATGGCATCAGGCAATAAACAGGAAATCACAACACGCACACAAAAGGTTCGCACGTGTGGGTCCCGTGTGGGTTGACGCGCACTGTAGAACGCTGGTGTCTGTTTGCCGGCAAAGCTCAGCGCTTGTGAGACTCAACACTAACGTAGGACTTCGGGTTCAAGTGCCATAGGCAGCTACAGCACAAAATCTGGGAGTATTCGTCCTGGAGCTTGCAATGCCTTCGGGACAGAGTTAATGTCAGGCACGAAGCACGTACATGTACAAGAAGACCACTGTAACTGTAGCGTTGGAGCACCAGAAATTAACCGGCCAAGCAGGCCCCACATTGACTTCACGTTGTCCTCCGGGTCGAGGGGTCGATGCTTGTGCGGCAGGTCACCAGACACTGGAAATAAGCCAATTGAATCACGAATCCGACACCCGCTGTCCTGACGATCGTGAGAAAGTAAACCAACTGTGCAGTTCGACTACGGCTGCCACTGTGGCTGCTGCTAGTCTGCTAGTACTGCTACTGCTGCCAGTACTAGTAACTACATTATGTATAGCTCGTACTAGTACTGTGACGTCGCTACTACCACAACCATGCCTTCCTTCATTCCCTCCCTCATTACTTGCCTCCTGCCTTCCGTCTCTCCTTCCTTCCAGCCTCCCTGTTCGCAAACATCGGTCCGGCCATCGTGCACAGCATGAGCGACTTCAAGACTCTACGGTTGAACCCATGGGCCCCTAGTATGGGCCCTTAACCCTGAAAGCCTTATACAGATACACCTACTATGTACCCTTGAGGGCCCCCAGAAAGGCCTAAGGGTCCATCTTAGGGGCCCATACTCCTAACCTTAGAAAGACAAGAACGTCAGCACTTTGCAGACTATGCATCAAGAACTGCGCTGCCCGAGCAGATTTCTCCAACTGCGACTGCTATACTGCTACTGCCCCTGCTACTGTGACGACTCGGCTACTGCTCCGGCTATGAAGATGACACCAGCGACGACGATTGTGCCGACGAAGACGTCGCCGACGACGTTTACGACCACCACCACGGCCACCACCAACAACGATCATTGTAGTCTTGCCGATAGAATCACCACAATGCATAGTGCACTGGGCGATCCGAAACATCGGTAGGAATGTCCTGGTCATGTTCTCACGTGTGCAAGATCCTGCTTCTTCCCTCTATGTGGACGCAGTGAAAGGGAAGATCACAAGATGACCATGATGCAAGGGCCTTGATCACCGGAATAGAGTTTGGGATAGTTGTATGGGGCCGTGATGAGGCGATATTGTACTGTAGTAATGATTAGAACCCTCCGGCTTTTACGACGTTGGCAGCCAGGTAACTTCAAGTTCCAAGCTTGACGAAAAGTCCAATAACTAAAGTCCAAACTCCTGAATCCCAAACTCGCGAAGGCCCTTGCCCCACTGTAGCCAAAACACCCTCGACGGTTTACGGTTCAGAGTTTTACGGCATGGCTGGTTCCCTAAACCCTAAACCCTAAACCCTAAACCTGAATCCCTGGGATGCAACGAAGATGCAGGGCCAAATCATCTCGATCTTCCACCAGCATCCTCAAGCCAACTCTAAGCTGGGTTTAGGGTTTAGGGTTTAGGGTTTAGGGCTTAAGGTTTAGAGTGCTAGGGTGTAGGATTTAGGGTTTAGATCTGAGGGTAAATGTCCTTCAAATCCTGAACCTCACAATAAACCTCGCGAGAAGTTCGACAATAGGGACCTTAATCGTTGGAATAGAGTTTCGGGAAGTACAAGATACTTTGTTATCATAAGGAACCCTGCGGAACAAAACTGGCAGATCTTCATGCGCCTAAACCGTACACCCCCCGGGCGCCAAACCCTTTGACCCCTAAACGCTGTAACCCCAAACCCCTACACCCCTAAACCTCTAAACCCCTACACCTCTAAACCCCTAAACCCCTAAACCTCTAAACCCCTAAACCCTAAACCGTAAACATCAAAACTCCAAAACCCCTAGACCCCTAAACCCCCAAACCTCTAAACCCCTAATCCCCTAAACCCTTACACCCATAAACCCCTACACCTCTAAACCCCTAAACCCCTAAAGCCCTAAACCCTACACCCCTAAACCCCTAAACCCCTAAACCTCTAAAACCTAAACCTCAAAACCCCGAAACCCCAAAACTCCTAAACCCCTAAACCTCTAAACCCCTACTCCCCTGAACCCCTTAACCCCTTAAACCCCTTAAACCCGAACCCCTAAACCCTAAACCCTAAACCTCTAAACCCCTAAACGCCTGAACCCCTAAACCCTAAACCACAACGCCCCTAAGTTATCACGAAACGGAGACCCCCAGCTCCTTTTGTAGATGTCTGTGGCCTCCTGGAAATGACTCCTTTGCGCAAGTCTGCGGTTTAGGGTTTAGGGTTTAGGGTGAAGGGTTGAGGGTTGAGGGTTTAGGGTCCAGGGTTAGGGTTTAGGGTTTAGGATTTAGGGTATCGACGCTTGAAGAAATCTCAAGAGTTGTCTTCTGGGTTCCTCGAATATCGATGGCATAGTTACACCCCAATGCCCTATTCCAATTCTTAAGGTCACCATATTATAGGGCTTTGTGGTGTGGGGGCAATTGCGGTTAGGGTCCGGAAGGCACCCTTCGTGTAGCCCTCATGAGCCCGACTAATTCGCTGGAGTTTAAGCTGTATTGCAGGGTCTGAGTGTGAGCCTAGGTGGGATTCAGTGGCGCCTTCTTGGGCACGTTGTCGCTTCTGAACATGCGAACACAGAACAAGTCTAAAGACACAACTGACGACAATGGCAGCTTTGAGATAAGCAACTAAAAATCCTTCACCTTAACCCTAGAACCCACCTCTCAGCGCCCAACCCTTACCCGAAACTCTGAACCCTCAACCAGCAACCAACCAACCAAGCAAGCAAGCGATCAACCAGCCAACCAACCCGAAGCGCAAAAGACCTCAATTGAGTTTACTGCCAAGGGACTACTAGCTCAAGCTGCTCGGTTTCTGTATCTTCTTATGGCTTTTCCAAAGGGCTTCTTCTAGGTGTCCAGGAACTTGTTAAAACTGTTGGGCGTCTTATCGGATGTTGGAGGGGACTCCTGTGAGATTTTAGAAGTGTTCAAGGCTGCGGGGTGCAGAGCCATAGGCAGCGCCGATTGCTTCGGAGTCAACATTCATGTTGATGCAAGAAACTACGAAGTCCGACTGTTTCGTCAACTGTTATTGCTGGTTTATAGGGATTGGGGCAGGGTTTAGAGTCCAAGGTTTACCCATTCCCGGCAGAGGGCCTGAGATACTGTATCGCGGCCAGGCATAGCTGGTCTTCCTTGCTTTCTGAGAGCGCCTGGCAATGTTGAGCGGCAAGAGCTATAGACGCCCGTGCATTCTAGCAAACTACGAGTAGAAGCTGTCAGGTATGAGGACCCTCGTCATCTCTAAGGTTGAACCCATGGGCCCCGAGCATGGGCCCTTAAGGGTGGGATCCTTATATACCTACTATATACCCTACATGTACCCACCAGGGTCCCTGGAAAGGCCTAGGGGTCCACATTAAGGGCCCATAACTCTAAACCCTAAACCATAAACCCTAAACTTCTAACCTAAGATAATCTTTGATAACGAGCATCGATGCTATCTTTGAGCAGAGCCAAGGTCTGATAACAAGCAGGCAATCATGATCAGGAAACCCCTAAACCCCTAAAGCCCTACTGGGCTTTGAAGTAACCAGGGAGAAAAAAGTATAGACTTTCATTTTATAATGGTTCTGTTAAGGAACAGGTCTCAAACAAGTATTATAAAGTATGGTACTCCAAAGCCCAGTTTATGTCGACTCCTTAGCCAAGAGCTTTAAGGGGTTTTAGGGTTTAGGGTTTAGGATTTTTGGGCTTCCTTCGCCAGATCCTGAACCCTTCTCGGAACCCTTTAAACAAGAGAGAACCGACCTACTGTCATAGTCAGTGGTCAGGGTATACTAGAGAATACATGGAAGGCCTGGGAACAACCATCAAACTGAGAAGCAAAAAAAAAACAGACGCTGAAAGCCCAAAACCGCACCCAGAACTCAAACGCCCTGGCACAAACTCTAAAACCCCAATGCTCATTAACTCTACATAAGCTGCCTGGTGGTGGATCATCATGGCGCTCTCGTCATTGCGCTTGTGAGCCTCGTGTCTATCCGCTGTTCAAGCTTGGGCTTCCTAAGCTTAGTGCTTACTTAGAGGATCATGGGACTTAGTAAGTAGGGTTATAATTAGGGTAACTATACTTATAGCCCCAATTAAGGGACTTATAACCTTGTTTACTAAGTCCCATGATCCTCCAAGTAGGTTTTAGTACGTAGGGTTCAGAGTCCGCGGCTTAGTTGTGAGTTCAGTTCAGTAATTAGAATGCTGATTAGAGCCTACCATCGTGATCTGTATACTGTCTATGCACACAGGAGCCCGTCCAAGGTACCGTTCTCGCAGCAGCCGAATCATCTGGAACAAGACCCGGTGCTAGAAATGCACGAAAACCCTAAACCCTAAGCCCCCAAACCCTAAAACCCTAAACCCTAAACCCTAAAACTCTAAACCCTAAAACCCTAATCCCCTAAACCTTAGGACAACCAAAACTCGAGCCTCCAGCCTCCCTGTAGCCCCAGCCCTTACTGCACAGTACTGCAATCACAAGGGACGAGTTTAGGGTTTAGGGTTTAGGGTTTAGGGTTCAGGGTTCAGGGGTTTAAGGTTTAGGGATTGTCAGGGGCAAAGGATTTTGTTGCGACGGGGGGAGAATCCCGAAACCCTAAACCGCAAACCCGCTGGAGGATTGACCCAACCTAAACCCAACCCAAAACCCGAATGCTTCCATGGTTTTGGTCGCCCGGCCCTAAACCCCAAAGGACCCCCATTTTCCACCAGACTCTTCTCACTCACATCGCTGCTGCTCAACGTCGGTACCATGCTCTCCATCCAGCGACTTCCAGGCTCTGGCTATAACGGTTTTGGTTTAGGGTTTAGGGTTTGAACAAACCTGCCTCCCGTCGGAGCCTTCTCCCACTGGGCATGGGCCGTACCCAACAAGAACCGCAGGGCATTCGGAGGGCTCGAAGCATCGGCCCCCGTCTCCGAAACCAGCGAGCGGATGCTCTGGGTCCTGGAGACCGGACCTATTCGCAGGATCCGACGTGGCTGGCAAGAGTGAGAAGAAGCAAAAGAAGAAGGACTTGTAGGGAATGGGGGAATGGGTTATAGGGACTACTATAAGGGACCTTAAGGGACTATCATAGGGATCCGTTCCCCCATTCCCTACTTCAAACAATAAAGGACCATGGTGACCTCGCCTAACCAGCTGGGTGCGGCCCGGACTCCACCTGCTGCGCGGCCGCGAGCCCAGGTGGATCCTCCTAGGGACGCACAAGCAGTCCTTGCGAGTTAAAGTGTGTGCCGCCCAAGCCGCCCATGAGCAAGATGCCGCCTGCTGCACGACGCGAGAAACAGCCAGCTTGAGACAGTCGCCCATGTATCCGGAAGTCAACGAAAACCGAAAAGATAAAAACAAATCTTAGACAAGACAAACAACCTCTAAAACCCTTAAGCCCCAGCCGCCTCAGCACAGCCCCAGCAGTAAACCCTACATGCCACAGCCCCAAAATCCAAAACAGAACGCTCCAACTTCCCAATCTGAACTAATGTGGGACTTAAACAACTAGAAAACATTTTGGGGTAGCTGATACTATAATCATCCTACAAAACCTCAAGTAATAGCAGGCCTCTGTCTTCATGCTACACGTGCTACACGTGGGTGGGGAGTCTTCGGGTTTTGCAGCTCAGGGATCAGGGATTGGGGTCAAGGAGCCGGGTTCAGGGCGTAGACTTTAAGGCACTGTAGGGGCCTTAAGAACTAGAATAGGGCTTTGGGGCCTCTTACTATATTTATAAGCTATAATTAAGAACCCCCCCAAAAAATAGTGTAGGTAATTATTTAGGCTTCTTTATTCAGGTATCAACCTCTAAGGTTTGTTAGAAAGAGGGCTGGGTCTGCGAGGCAATAGGGTATCTCAGAGGCAAAGCACAGGTCTAGGACTTCCTTTGGACTGGCACCCCTTGGCGGCTGCATGTCCACATGCGGTTTAGGGTTTAGGGGTTTAGGGTTTAGGGTTTAGGGATTTAGGGTTTAGGGTTTTGGAGACAATGAAAGTGAGAATACGGCATCAACATCCCAGGTGCTGAGGTTCAAACTGCAAAAAGAAAACCTGAACTCAAACAACGACCTTGTATCCTCGCTTGTTACCTCAACCCACTGCAAACAAACCCTGAACCCTAAACATCCCTAAACCCTAAACCCTAAACATCCCTAAACCCTAAACCCTAAACATCCCTAAACCCTAAACCCTAAACCCTAAACATCCCTAATTCCTACTCCGTAGGAAAGAGGCGGTCTGGAAGAGAACTCGCGACTTCAAGGGGCTGTCGGGAGCCTCGCTCCAGGACGCTCCATTAGGTCTGAGTCTTATAGGGGTTTAGGCTTTAGGTTAAGGGTTTAGGGTTTAGTCTAGGGGTTTAGGGTTTAGGGTTTAGGACTCCAGGACGCTCCATTAGGGCTTCTAGGCGTTTAGTGTTTACCCATAGGCCTCATAGTGGTTCCTTTTGAGGGCTCATATTTGGAATCCTATAAGGTAATCCCAAAAAGGGAATGGGGGAATGGGTTAAAGGGACTACTATAAGGGACCTTAAGGGACTATCATAGGCTGGGCTTTGAAGTAACCAGGGAGAAAAAGTATAGACTGTTATTTTATAATGGTTCCTTTAAGGGTTTAGGCTGTTATTTTAGAAAGGTTCCTTTAAGGAACAGGTCCCCGAAAAAAGTATTAAAGTATGGTACTCCAATGCCCAGATTAGGGCTTCTAGGCGTTTAGGGTTTAACCTAGACACTGAGCCCTGGAGTTTATCTTCCATAGAGGGTCAAGAGCTTACTTCCCCAAGAAGCCAGGCAAATTAAAGGTTAAACTGTCAGACTACAGTACTACTAGATCATAAGAACCCCAAAAGCTTAAAGGTTGGCTATTGGAGAACTAAGAGAGTCAGAGGCTGTGGGTGCAACGGCGGGTGCAAGGTTTTGGGTTTGGGCTTTTGTTCTCGGATGGAGACGATGTCCTAAACCCTAGACCCTAAGCCCTAATCCCTAAACCCTAAACCCTAAACCGGGTGCTGCCCGATGTTCAGAAACCTAACTGCGTGCAAACCTTGGGGACCAAATGACTCTGGACAGTGCGGGTCGACACCCTTCCGCATCTACGGGAATTGAACCTTGAACCCTTTCAGGGTTCATTCAGGCAAGTTTACTGTTCAAAACCAAGGGAGTGGTCCGCCCGTCGATGACAAGGCTGTTTGCTGTTGGTGCTTAAGATTCCGGCTTGATGTAGGGGCCTTAATAATTGGAGTAGGATCTTGGGTCCTTTATAGTTATATTGAAATAAGGAACCCCAACAGCAAAATTGGTAATTATTGACGCTTCTATATCCGAGGTTTGCTGTCAAATCTCCGGGCTTGGATTTCGAGCTTTCTGTACAAGGATCCCGGAACCCCTTAAACCCTAAGCCCTAAGCCCTAAAACCCAAAACCCCACTAGATGCTTGGGGTTTAAGATATGATACATGCCCTCCCCTGCCTCAAAGAAGCAATACCGTTGATGATATAACTTCTGCATGACCCATAAGGAGTATACCAAAATTTCCATAGTTTAGGGACCTTAAGGTACTGCAAGATTTATATCATCAACAGTAGGTCGGATTTCGAGGGGTCCACCTGAACCCTGTAACACATGCCTTGCTGATTTTTTTGGGGCTCGTAACTATGATTCCTGTGTTCATGAGTTTCTTCTGTAACCCTAAACCCTAAACCC